GCCACCCACTGGCTGTGAGGGTGGGCAGGTCGTCAGCCCGCCCAACTCTGGGGTTTCTGTGCCTTCTGTGGACCAGTGGCACCTGGCTCACCGGGAGCACTTTTGAATTCCAGAGTCTCGGGGCCCCATCCTCGACCTTCAGAATCAGATTCTGCATTTTGTCCCCCTCCCCAGAGACTTGTGGGGACACTAAAGTGTGAGCACCTCTCTGTGCCTTAGTTTCCCCACCTGTAAAATGGGGATGATAAAAGCACCTCCCCCTGTTGTGCGGGATGTGGGGACGCATCTCGCTCCGTCTGGCCCCAGTGCCCTGCCCCCTTCCTTTTGTGTGGACTAGTTCGGAGCCCTCCCCATGCGGCAGCAGTGGCCTGGCCCTGCAGCTGGGTGTCTGCCTTCCCCCAGCCAGAAACCCACAGAAGGCTTTCCAGTGTAAGCTTGGTGTGGTCTGGCTTTGCCAAGAGCCACACAGAACGAAGCATGCCACTTGGACCCAGGTCTTGCTCCCCCACATCTCCACCTTCCTACCCTCAGATGTGTGAAAGCTACCAAGAATGGAGCCTTGGGAAATGAATTGTGAACTCCCTCTCACTAAAGTGTGAATGGTTGAAAACACTGCCAAGGCTCCACTCCCTGGACTAAGCACCCCGCTCTTTGGCTTAAGACTGACTCATCCTTGATGGGTTGGTGGGTTCTCAGGGCAAGAGGACAGGAGGTGGTGGCTAATGTAGGGTTATCTGGAGCCCCCAGATACGTGAAGGGGTTGATGGGGGGTGGGTTGGGAAGGCCCGATTCTGGTGCCTGGCTGAACTCTGACAACCTAAGAGGAGGACCAGCCCGGCCTGTGGAAAATTCCCAGGCTATTTTGGGTTGAGACCCCCTTCTCCACCCTTTCCTGGGATCTGGTTGGAGGCCTTGCTGACATACCCCTCTCTGAGGGCAGCCAGGGTGGGCGTGGCTTCCTGACTCCCTCACCTCTAGACCCTGGGTCCCCCCTCCCCTGGCTGAGCATTGTTGAGGACCTGGGGCGGTAGCTGATGGAGTGGGGGAGTGGGAGGGGAGCACCCCCCCCAGACCACCTGCTTTGAAATGCAAACCCTCATTCCTGCCCCCCTCCCCTGCTTGCTTTTTCTCCATGACATTTTCACTGTCCCACATACTGTGGGTTTCACTAGTTTACTTACTAGCTGGGGGACCCAGGCAAGTTACTTGACACTTTGTGCCTCGGTTTTGCCATCAGTGAAATGGAGATGAATGAGCTGTGATGTGTCAAGTGCTGTGAGCACTTCCCGGTTGCAGGACACTCTTCTTGTCCTGGTGGTTGTGGGGCTCCAGTCCCTGAGCCCAAGCTCCTGTGGGCAGGAATTAGCTGTCCTGGTTTCCATTTCCTGTGCCTAGTGGGGGGCCCAGTAACTGTTATTTGGAAAGGATGCAGCCTTCGTCCATCCTTGTCCTCGGGTGCCCCGTTCCTCTGATGCCCTAAGTGGCCAGTGTGCTCGGGGAGTGGGGGGGGGGGGCACGTGCGGCCCCCGCTGGTCCAGTAGTGTGCACACACAGGCAGTGACATGCTCGTGTGTGTGTGTACACACATATACTTGTGTGTATACACATATACACGTGCACACAGCACAGTGGCTGTGACGTGCCTTGGCAGGAGGGACGTTGGTCCGAGTTTGCTGCAGATCGGAGGCCCATCCCAGGTCTGAGCTTCGGGCACCTGTCTGCACCCTGCTTCTGCGGGGGGGAGTTGAGTGTGTGGGCTGCTCACGGAGGGCGCTGGTCGCAGAGTGCGGCCCTGCCTCCTCCCGCCCTGGGCTGTGCTGGGGGGTGTGGGGCCGGGCTTCGGGACCCCTGTCCCCATCTGTGCTTGGGGGGGCAGCAGCGGCTGCTGGGTTGGCTCCTGGGTGACCGGCTGCTCCCTCCCCCAGCTGTTTTCCTTACAGCTGGACTCTGACCCGACCTCCCCCACACAGAGGCCATTCACTGCTGGGCCCTGGGGGTGGGCTGGCTCCTGGCCAGGCCCCAGCTGCTCTCCTCCAGCTCAGATGGCCGGAGAGAGGCAGGCAGGGGGTGGTGAAGGCCCCAGGGTCTCCCCGCACCCCTCCATCCCGGTTTCTAACACTGCCAGGTGAGTGGGACGGTCCCCACCCCCGCTGGACTGTGCCAGCTGGAGCACGCCGAGTGCACCATGGCCGCCAGCCGATGCTCCTGGTTCTGGGGCTGGTTGAGAAGGGAGCCCTGCTCGGGGCGCCTGGGCGGGTCAGGAGGTTAAGCATCTGAGTCTTGATTTCGGCTCAGGTCATGATCTCACAGTTTGTGGGTTCGAGCCCCGCATTGGGCTCTGCTGACAGCACAGAGCTTGCGTGGAATTCTCTCTCCCTCTCTCTTTGCCCCTCCCGTTCACGCTTTCCCTCTCTCTCTCAAAATGAAAATGAAAATTAAGACAAAACCAAACAAGAATTTAAGGAGAGAATCGTGCTCTGTGCCGGCCCCAGCTCTGGGCCCTAGGGACGTGGAGGGACCCTGTGCAGCCCTCAGGTTCCTTGCCCGCCAAGGCTGTGGGCTGCTCTTGGCATCTCTGAGGGTTGGGTGTATTTGGGGATTCGGGGATGCTGGGATGGAGAGAAAGGGGCCCCTAATTTGAGCCTGTTGCATTAATTCAGGGGGAGGTGGGTATGGTAAAGGGCATGGGACTGACAGATGGACAGATGGGTGTGAGAAGAGGAAGACGCACACGATGTTGTTGATCCCCGTAGTTCCTCAGCCGGCCCTCTCCCGGCTCTCTGTCCCTGGTGCCCACCACACTGCCCCCTTGCTGGCCTTCAGCCACACCTGGGTGGGCTCTTGCCAACCACAGGGCCTTTGCATAGGCTGTTCTGTCTGCCTGGAAGAGCCTCCCTCTCTTTTTGAAAGGTTGACTCTTACTGTTTAGGACCCAGCTTTCCCCTCGTTAGAGAATCATCTCCACCCTGGTACTCTGTCTCCCCGTGTATTTCTTACCAGCCCTTCTGGGAATCTGTAGCGATCTTATTCATGTGTCTATTTACCTGTTTATTCTCTGACTCCAGACTCAGGCCCTGTGTCTCTAGTGCCATGAACTAGGGCCTGACACTGATCACCTGTTTGTTGAATGACCTTATGATGGCAGTTATAACAGTCCTAGCTGATAGGCCCTGCTCACTTGTTCTGGGTAGATAGCGTGCTGAGTGCTTAGCGTGTAGTATTTCATTTCAACTTCATGGCCGTGGTGTGAGGTCAGATGTGCCTGACTCCAGAGGAGGAGAAGGAGACTGGACGGAAGAAGAGAGGGCTGTTCCCTCCCCCTGGTGTCCCATCTGCTGTCCTGGGAGGCCTGGGCAAGGCGCTCCCTTCTCTGGATCAGCACCCTTCCCAGAACCCCAAGCATTGGAACATTCCAGGACTCTATGACCTGTATTGGTGGGTGGTGCTGGAGCCCTGACCCCCCAGCCGAGCAGCCGGGGCCTGCATGAGGTGGGGGCTCCCTGGTCCTCCTTGGCGGTGGCTGCAGCTGAGAGAAGGGTCAGGAGGTAACTATGTCACTTCCTCCAGGCGGGCAGCCGGCCTTCTCCCTTCCCAGCCAGGCAGAACTAAGGCCAGACGGCTGTGTGGGGGACTGAGGGGAGACTCAGGGGGAGGGGGACAGGTTGGGGGGAGGAACCAGGCCTGTTCCTTGGGGGGGTTTGGGTTGCGGGCAGAGGCAGCTCTGCTGGGTGATGTAGGTTGAAACCCCAGTGCTCTGGGGCCACTGAGTCCGTATAAATGAGGGAAGCAGGGGTGGCGAATGGCAGTTCGAGGTTGTCAGAGCTTCGAGTTTTGTTTTTCCAAGAGTAGTGGGAAGCCTGGGTTGGGATGTTTTCAGCGTGAAAACCCTGTGTGAGCCACATAAGCCCGTCGGCCTGCTTCCGTCCCACCGTGGCGTGCCTGGGTGAAGGAGGAGTTCGGGGTTCCTCCGCCATCCCTGCCACGGGGCCCCGCTCTGGTTCGTGTCCTCTGCAGGTGCCGGGGGACGCCCACTCGGCCGCCCCACTTTGCAGATGGGGAAATTGGTCCCAGAGAGCGGAAAGGACTTACCCAAGCCCCTCTGGCTCCTGAGCTTTGCTTTCTTTCCTGGTGACCTTGAGCCCAGGCCGAGGTAGCGCGGGTGCCTTGGCAGTCGGTCACGTGTTCAGTGCAACGGCCACGTCCTGCTCTTGGCAAAAGTGCCAGAGTCCGCTCCCCCCAGGCCCCCAGCCGGGTCTGATCCCGCCTCTGATACATGTTAAGGGTCACCGAGGGAACTGGAGTTCCTGGCAGCCAGTGACCCAGGCAGCTTGCAAACTGACTGAGCGCCTGGTGGAGATGGCTGTCTTGGCGATGGTCCTGCCACTGAGGGTCCCTCAGGCCCACTGTCCTAGATGCAAGCTTGTGACGGCCCCTGGGGGATCCAGACCTGGGGTCTGCGCCTCTCGGTGTGTGTCCAGAGTTTCTCGGGGGAATGCTGTGTGCTCTGCCCTCTTTTACCTCCGCCTTCCGGAACCACAGTGCCTGGCTAAGTGCTTGACTTAGCAGGTCAAGGCTGTTGAGTGGCTGCAGTGTGACCTAGGTAGCTGGCAGTAAAGGATCCCTGCCCGCCTGCCCTGCCTCCCTCGCCGCCCTCTTCCTTCCCTCCCTTTCACAAGTATTGACTAAGTGCCCTGAGTGTGCCGGGGGCACAGAGGGGACTGATGGCATCCGTGACGTGGGGCGAGCAGGCATTTCCTGGCAGAGCGATGCCCGAGGGAGGCCGCGGCTGCCGCGGGAGCCGTGGAGGCACCTGACCCAGCTGGGGCGAGCCTGGCCTGCTGCCGGATAAGGTGACCTCCACGCCGAGTGAGCCTCGCGCCTGCATTGCGCAGCCGAGAATGTGGGTCTCCGGTGGGAGACTGTCAGACATGGGGGTGGGCTGCATCCGGGATCCCCCCTTGCAGGGCATGAGCCCCTGAGAGCCCTCGGTGTCTTCCTAGGTCAGCCATGTCATCTGAGCCACCTCCACCGCCACAGCCCCCAACACACCAGGCTTCGGTCGGGCTGCTGGACACCCAGCGGGCCCGAGATCGGTCACCGTCCCCTCTCCGGGGCAACGTGGTCCCGAGCCCGCTGCCCACCCGCCGGACGAGGACCTTCTCGGCGTGAGTCTCGGGCTAGCCTCCTGCCCAGGGCCAGAGTCATTGTATCTGGCCATCTCTGTGACTCAGTGTCCCGGTCTGTCACATGGGGAGACTTGGGTTGGGGTAAGGACTGGTGAGGCACCCTGTAAACTCTGGAAGGCAATGCCCCAGGTCCCTTGAGCCTGTGGCAGGCTGGGGTTCATAACAAGTAGGAAATCACTGGGGTCTTAAATCAATGGGTTTTAACCACGCACAAGCCTCTTCCTTTGTCGGACCGACCTCGACTTCCTCAGCTGCAAAATGGGGACAGCAGCAGGCTGGGGCACAGTGCTGCAAAGGACCTGCACAGTGCCTGGGAGCTGTAGATCTCAGGCCCAAGTTGTAGAGGCTGCTGCCGTCACTAATAGTGTTCAGAGGGATGCTCGGAGAGCTTTTAGTCTAACCCCCTTTTTGGATAGAGAAACTGAGGCCTGAGAAAATTTGCTGGGGTCGTCAGAGAGTCACTCTTGTTAGAGTCTTTGTGAATGGCTCCCAGAGTTGTGCAGTTCACAACCTGCATAGCTATACATAATGGCCCTGGTTACTATCCGGGGCATGGCTTTTAAGGGGGCACTGGGATGAGCTGGGTATGCCTCAGGAGAGTGGGTGGCTGTTCTGGAGGGCTGGTAGGGGCCCCCACTCACACTTTCCCCCCCTCTTTCAGGACGGTGCGGGCTTCGCAAGGTCCTGTCTACAAAGGAGTCTGCAAATGCTTCTGTCGATCCAAGGGCCACGGCTTCATTACCCCGGCCGATGGTGGCCCCGACATCTTCCTGCACATTTCTGAGTGAGTCAGGGCTGGTTTGGGCGGTTTGGGGCTGGGCAAGGAGGCAGGGGGAGTGTGTGACTGACAGGCGCTGCGTGTGAGGGCGTGAGCCTCTGCCTGTGACCTGTGTGTGACTGTTTGGGGGTGGGGCGTGTGGGAGGCTGCAGGTGACAGTCTGCACGTGTATGTGACGGAGAGCGAGACAGAGGGAGAGAGGGAGAGACTGTTGAGAACCATGGGATGGGTCTGGTGGATGGGAGGGGTGTCACTGAGCTGTGGAGTGCGTGTGACCCAGAGTCTGACTTCCTGCCTGCCTTGGGGGAGCCACTCAGTGAGGCTGGGGGCTGCCCAGCCCCTCTGCTCCAGGAAGGAAGTTTGGAGCTGGGCCCTTTCTCCTGCGACTTGCTCACTGACGTCCTTCCTTCCTGAGTGTCTGGAAACCCTTGGGAGGCTGAGGCGGGGCCCGCACGTCCGCGGCCTTGAGGCTGGAAGGCATCCAGCGGCCTGTGCTTCGCTCCCTCCCCCAGTCAGCCTTCAGCTATGTGGGGACCGAATCGGGCACCGCCTTGCCCCTGCCCCGTTCTTTGGCCTCTGCACCCCCAATCTTTTAGTCTGTGGCAGGCCGAGTCCTATGCCACACGGCAGACCGGGCAATATATAAACACCCCGTTTTTGGAGATAGGGTACCGTTGCAAATGTCTGTTGTGAGGGGAGAAATATCCCTCCTTTACCTCTTGCCCCCCCAAAGTCCTTACATGCCAGGCCTCGCACAGGCTCCCGGAGAGTACAGACAGCAGCAGGGTGTTAAAGCCACGCATCTGATGGGTGCGTGAATGCGTATGTGGCTGTGAAAATGTGTCTTCATGTCGCCTCTTTCCGGAAGGGATCTGTAGTGGTTTACAAGGATATTCGCAGTGCACCATGAAAAATCAGTAAGGAAAACCGGGGGCGGGGGTGGGGGCGGGGGCGAGTCAGAGAGATGGACGTGCGGCATCCTGGTGGCCCGACCAAAGAGGGAAGCACCGTTGGCCACGTGCGCTTTCCCTCAAGGCGAAATCCCTCAGATCAGTTCCAGGATCTGAAGGGGATTTTCCTCTTGCTGGAGGTGTCCTCGGGGGGCATCAGCATGGGCACCTCACCAGGGTGGGTGAAATGGTGACTTGTGTCCCATAGGGAGTACGGTCACAGGGAGGGGACCCTCCTGGAACTCGCGTTCAGCACGGAAGGGACTTGCCTTCAGGCTTGCTGGGTGTCTGGGAAGCGGGAGGGCAGAGACGCACGCAGCTGGGGTTTGGGGCTCTCTTGGGACCAGGGCGGCTCTCAACCGTGATGCTGACGGCCTTGTTCTCTCTGGCCCAGACTGGCTCTCCCTGCTCGTGTGTCCACAGGCCCGTGACACCCATGCGACGGACAGTATGAGCTCCTGCAGAGGCAGAGCTCGGTCTGGGCCTCAGAGTGCTGGGAGGCTGGGGGGACCTGGTCCCGCAGAGACACGGTGGCTCCCTGGTGGCAGGGCAGGAGGGGCAGGTGCTCCAAAAGCTCGGGCTGGGGTCCTGGGTGCGGCACGGAGCTGAGTGAGGCTTTTGTGGGCGCTGGGCACTGAACGCTGTCTCCCTGCTCCCACAGCGTGGAGGGGGAGTATGTCCCCGTGGAAGGCGACGAGGTCACCTATAAGATGTGCTCCATCCCCCCCAAGAACGAGAAGCTGCAGGCCGTGGAGGTGGTCATCACCCATCTGGCCCCGGGCACCAAGCACGAGACCTGGTCCGGCCACGTCGTCAGCTCCTAGGAGATGCCGGAAGCATCCCTTCTCCTGGGCTCGCGGGAGACTCTGGGGGGGAGGAGGAGGCAGAACCAAACTGCAGATGACGGTCTACCGCTTGAGATGGGGCTTCAGAGCGGGGAGCACGGTCCCTTTCAAGCATCTTCAGGAGGAAGGGGCGATGGGGACAGGCACTGGCATGCTCTCGGCCACCAGCACAGCCTTGGACCGTTCCAACAGCCTCTCACCATCTGAAAAGCATTAAAAGCATGGAAAAAGGAGGGGTGCCCGCTGGTGGCTGAGTGGATGGTCCAACCCCAGCCCCGGGAGTGGGTCAGGTGGGCGCTTCCCCAGCCCACAGAGTCCTTGTGCCCCTGGGCTGGAGGCTCAGAATCCCCAGATCCAGCCCGCCCCGGGGGCTGACGGGAGGCCCTATGCGTTTCCCACCCTCCTTGTGTCTGTGTTTGGCCCTCAGCAAAACGGGCTCTTTTCTGTTGGTCTGTTTGGTTTGTTCTAGGGGAGCTGGCCTCACCGGGCAGGGGGTCACGAGAGCGGGGGTCTTTGGTGCGTTTGCAGCGGGAAGAATCCCAACTGGGTGCCTGGGAAAAGAGTTTCCCCAGGAGCCCTGAGCCCTCCCCTCGGCCATGCCGTGCTCAGCTGAATCCTCTCTCCTCCTACCCTCAATTTAGCAGACAGTTCACAGCCGTGGTCGTTTAGGTGGTGGGTCGGGGTGGGGGTGGGAGAAGGGTGGGTCTTTGTTTAAAATCAGAGCTCGGTCCAGAACCCTCCGGATCAGAGTCGGTCGGTCGTGGTGGCTCGCTTCTCAACAGCCTGGTAAAGTCAAAACTTGGAGGAGAAAATGCCCCTTTGGTGATGGGGTTTTCCTGAAAACTGGTGTTAAGAAAAGCTGAGGGTTTGTTTGTTTTCTTCGCTAATAACCAAGGCTTTTGCCCAGGGCCAACCCTGTTTGCACTTGGCTGTCGACATTTCGAACCCTTGTAGATATTTTCCATACACAAGTCCTGAGGCTTTTCTTTGCGGTGGCTTGCTTTGGCTCTAAGGGTGATGTAAAAATAGAAATAGCTGGGTGGGTGATAATGTTTTGAAATGTGTGGCTTCTGTGTACTCAAAGGTACGTTTTGTCAGTTGCAGGGAAGTGAACCCTGTACAGCTGGCTTGGAAGCAGACGGCAATGTTGCAAAGGAGGGAGGGCGGCCGATGGGTTGTGGAAGAGGCGAGGCCGAGTGCCTCGGTCTGTGGATGGATTGGTCTTTAAGCGTAGGAATGGCTTCCTTTGCAAGATAGAACTCTTTTGCTCATGACCGGCGGGAGCTGTCTGAAAATTGGCAAATAGCGTTTGGCTGTGTGCATGCGAACAGCCCGCTGCGGCCAGCGGTGGATCTGCCATTTCCTGGCCTGTTGTGCCCCTCGAAGGGTCCTCGGTCTGCTGCCTCTGCCTTCTGCTGGGTCCAGGGTGGCCCTTGCCCTCCAGCCTGTTTCCGCAGGCCCTCTGGAGACACCACACTTCCTGAGCCACTTCTGCCAAGGACCTTCGGGCTCCCAGAGGTCGAGAGCCTGCGTCTAAACCCCACCCCCGGGGGTGTTCCTGGTCTTGGCCTGGCCTCGGCGGTCGGGGCTCTTTGCGGACGCGTTCTCGTTCGTGGTCGGACACAGAGTCTCCATTTACAAGAAGCTCTGGGAGGAGCCTGGTGCCGGTGATGAGCTGGGGTGGCGTCCGGGATTCCTTCCCTCTCTCCTCCCGCCCGCCACCTCTGTCTTAATAAAGTGTGTTCTGTGCAAGGCTGGGTGTTGTCCGTGAGGGTGGAGGCCGGCTTCTGGAAGCCAGCAGGTAAGGGCGTCTTCCCAAACGGGGCTGACCCCCTGCTCCACCATCTGGCTTTTGAGGCTGCTGAATAAGAGAGTGGGATCATCCCCTTTTCTGTAATCATCACATTCTCCAGCGTAGGGCGGCTTAGCAGTAGAGGGTGGCTTCGCGTGAGCAAAATGCCACTGACTGCGTCGGCTGTGGCTAAATGTTGATGCATTTGGACGTTTCCCTCGTGAGCAGCAGCAGGGAGAGGCAGGGCCGGCCGGACAAAGGTTAGTCGGGAAGCAGGAGGTGCGAAAGCCTATGGTCTCCTTGTCCGGGAGCGCAGCGGGGAGATGCAGGGCCGCGGGCGGACGCTGGGCCGTTTTGGGTTGGACTTTGGGTTAGGCTGGGACGGTCTTGCCCGGCCAGCGTCTCCAAAGGGCGGGTAGATCATTTATATTAGCGCAGAGGTGGATGTTTTTACTGCGGTACTGATTTTCAAAGTGTACTGGGGAAACGTCCAGTCAGCCCCTTGAACCTGGGTAGGGAGAAGTTGAAGTAGGCATTTATTCACAACAAGGAGACGTGTCCCAGCGCCGCACTCGGCATCGGACGGGGGGTGCTGAGCCTGGAGAGGGTGCCCCAGTCCAGCTCCGAGTGAAGGGTTGAGCGGTGGTGGGAGAGAGCCCGGGGCCTGGCTGCGGGGGCAAGTGGCCCGACGGGCCAAGGACAAGAGCGGTTAAGCAGGAGGAAGCAGCGGTTGGAGAAGAAGTGATTCAGGGCCTCCGCCGCTTTGCCCGAATCTGCAAGATGGGCCCAGCTCTGTCGTCCAGGGGCCGCCCGCCCGCTGGCTGGAGAGACCTCGCAGGGCGTCCTGCGGATCCCGAGACCCGCGTTCCCTCCCTCGGGATGGAGAGCTGGCACCTCCCTCCAGGCGAGGACGGCCTTCCTGGGGGTTCTGTCTCCAGTAGCCCCGGGTGTGCCCTCCTCGCGGCTGCTGAGTCCAGGGCCAACCTCTGCCTCCCTCTTGCTCAACACTCAGCTGTGGTGTGTGTTTGTTGTGATGGTGTCCGTCCTGCCTGCTGAGGGACCCCCCTCCCCACCCTGCCCGGCCCCGGGGGAGGGGGGGTGACTAACAGTGCCTGCCCTGCAGGGTTCCTGGGGGCTAGTTCAGTTAGTAGTAGCTCGGCTGCAGGTCCTTTAAGCCCCCCACAGAGGTAGGGCTGCACCCCACCTGACAGATGAGCAGACGAGCTGGGGTGAACCGGTCCTGAGTCCCCCGGCTGGTCTGCGGCACAGCCAGGGATTGAGTCCCGGCAGCGAGGTGCAGACGTTGTTCTGCCTTATGTGTCCCCGTTGCAGTGGGAGGGCAGGAGGCAGTGCAGAGGGAAGGCCTGGGAGGTGAAGGGCCCAGCCTGCCGGCCTCAGGGCACCCGGGCAGGACTCTCCAGTTATAAAGGTTAGGACAAGTTTGAGTGAGACTCCATTGTCTTGCTTTGCTGTAGCAAGTTAAGGAACCTTCCGGGGAATCGTGGGTCCTCACCCCTGGGCAGGAAAGCTCATGCCGGCAGGCCTGGATGCGCGAAGCCCTGCCCCTGCAGAAACACCGGGAACCACAGTGTCAGAAACGGTGGCTTTTGGATCTGCACGGGCTGGGCTTTCTTTCCTGAATCTGAGAGGATACCACAGCTAAGCGTTCACTTCGCCATTCATGTGACAAAGGAAGAAAAAGTCATCAGAATGAGAAATAGGAAACAATAAAATCACTTTAATTTGCTTCTTTTCATTGTGAAAGGTCATTACAATATCATTTGCAAAATTCAACAAAAGGTGCCACGGGGTAGCTTTGTCCTGGGAACCACTGTGCCACGTCACCCTGTGTGGTCATGCGGGCAGACTGCCCCCAACGGGACCGTGCCGAGACAGGCCTCGGGGTCCCCAGCAGGCTTGGACGGAAGCCGCTTCCGTGGAGATGAAAGCACCTGGCGGGGGGGGGGGG